GTTTCTTTTAAAAAGTTGTGGTCATTTAAATAACATCCTGTACATTAGGTAGATAATGGATGCGCACAGGCATCCAACCAGACACTTCCAGGGAACGTGGCCGATCGATTCTAAACGATGATACAGGGAGGATAATCTTCTCCACTGCTTCTCCAGACCCTTTCATGTTTGGGACATGTGCTGATTGTTTGGTGAAAGATATTTACACCAGAGTCCTCCTGTCAGTCATTTTGTAGCTCTAGCAGTTTTTGTCCTGTTCCTTCTTGCACAAAAGAGCAGATGCCGGTCCTAGTGATGGGTCAAGGAGCTTCTATGGCCCTGTCCAGCTCTCCCACTGTAACTGCCTGCTTCTTGGAAACTCCTCTATGCTCTTGAGACTGTGCTGGGAGAAGCGGCAAACTTTCTGGCAATGATGATGTGCTATCCTGAAGGAGTTGGACCACCTGTGCAATTTCTGTAGGATCCAGATATTGCCTCATGCTACCAGTAGTGATTTTATTTAATATTTATTTAATTTCATTTATCTAAAACTGGGCACAAGAAACTGTTGTATTTGGTGGTTAGAACTGGTGCTTTAATTCGTCACTCATACGCTCTAGAAGTGATTTTCCCGTTGCACATTGCTTTGAAGTTGACAGCTGGACTATTGCAGCTACTCCAGGGTCTGGTTGCCTAGGTGACCCTGTAATGTATTTACTACTACGTTATTCAGTGGTATTCTTCCCTCTCATTGGTAATCACTTCAGTTGCTTGCTTGGAAGTTGAGAAAAGTTTTTCTTGGGTTTCGCCCAGTTTTTGTCACCAATGATTATTTTGTCCGAAGTCACTTAACGACGTGGAATATCATTCACTTTCTCTTCCAATGTGTACAATGTCTAAGACTCCTGGTTAGACCCAAAATTGGATAAATGTCTTTAAGTTTGTGCATTTTGTAGCTTTCTATGGGTAATGCAGGAATTCATTCCTCTGTTTTCTCATATTTAATGAATTAATTTGTTTTGTTTCAGCCCATCCATATACCCCATCCAAGCAGCAGTGTTCCTGTAGGAGGGCTTGGGGGAATGGGTGGCGGTGGTGGAGTGGGAGTAGGAGATTGCATAGGTGGCAGTGGTGTGAGCCCAGTGGGTGGGTTAGGAGCAGGAAGAGGTCGCCCCCTCAACCTGAAAATGAAGTTTGTGTGCGGCCAGTGCTGGAGAGAAGGTCAGGTCAACGAGCCGGACAAGAACCTCAAGTACTGTACTGCCAAGGCACGGCACAGGTGAGGCCCCATTCACACATGCACACGTGCTCACTGTGTTTTCTCAGGTGGTCTAACAAGTTTGATGACTTTATGTCACGGTATCTTTAAGGCTCCCATGTTTGCTCTCTGTTTCTTCAGCTGGACGAAAGAACGCCGCGTGTTGCTGGTAAAGTCATTTGAGAAGAAGAAGTGGGTTGTTGTTCGGCCTCTTCCCTTCTCCCGCACCTATCCACAGCAATATGACGTGAGTTCCTCTGTTTTTCTTTCCTCTTCAGTTCATGTTTACTCCACCCTCTTTCTGCCCCTCCACCTCTCACATGTAGAATCCAGCTGACTGGTTTTGCCTCGGGGCACAGCCGTTTCTGTAACTCACACACTTGAATCTTTGCTTTACATATTTCACCCAGATGTGCGTGCACGTGATGAAGCAGAAGAAGTGCCACTATATTGGGAACTGCTCTTTTGCCCACAGTCTTGAGGAGAGGGACGTCTGGACGTACATGAAAAACAACAGCTGTAAGCTTCTGGTTCATTCCTAGGACAACTGTACTGAGATCAGGCCATTAAGAGTTTGTAAATATACAAAGGCAGCAGTGTGCGAGCTCCACCTTACACTTTCATATGTGGATTAAGTGATTGCTGATTCAGATTAGAGTTTGTCATGTGAAAAAGTCAAATGGAGACTGGGACAAATAAACATTTAATCCTTTTAAGGATTAGGTTCTTTATCCAATAAAAACACTATTGTTGTGTTGGGAAAAGTGCACCCTTCACTCTAAAAAGAAGTATCGCAGCCTTTAGCTGCACACAACAATGACAATACTACTAAGACTATATTATGCAAAATGACTTCATTTGCATGGGATTTGAATTTGGGCTTATTCCCTTATCCACCAGCATCCCTTATTGAGCCATGGTGGGTTAGTTAGTGTAGTAATGAGAGATCCAACATTCAGACCTCACATTATCTTCAAGCGCTCTTTGATATGATGTAGAATTTGTTGTTTATTCAATAACTGCAGCCATGTAATTCCCTGCGGCTGCTGACAAACCTCAAACCATAACATTTCCACCCCCATGCTGCTTCTGAGAACAAGACTTCTGCAGGTCCTTGAATTTTGTTTTATTAGATCGTCTGAATGTAAGACCCTAAATGTGCAGTACAATGCAGTCAGGTTTCCAAAATTGTTTGGATTATGGAATTAGGTTACTTATCTAAAGGAGGTATAACTCCATTAACTTGTGTTTGTTTGTTTGTTGTTTTGAGTTCATCCCACTGTAACAAAACAAGAAGAAACATGGAAGCGTAAACATTTCATACACTTGACTGACTCACTTGACGATACGATGAATTGTGATCTCCTCATAAACCTTGTGACCTCTTTTTGACCTCTGTGAAAAGTTATGAATATGTCTGTTCTCATTACTTTTATCTACAATTCAGTTTCTATATAGAAAACTATGACGTTCAGATCAAGCCTGTTGTCCGGCAAACACCTTATTTATTCAAAAAGTAGTTTTAAAAAAAAAAAGGTCATTACACTATTTATATTTTACACAAGGTGTCAACTTTTCCAGAAAATGAGATTGTAGTATCGGTAAATTCATGATCAGCAAGATCTGAATGAGGGGAAAAAACTCAAACTTATGTATTCACATCAAGAGTGCTACCAAAATCCAGGCCCCAGCACGACCCACTCTACACAGTAACATTAACATTATGGCCAGTGTTTGTGTGCACAGCAGTATTAAAGGAGTCACGGATTTCACACACATTTTATTTAACTTGTTGAAACCAGTCAAAGTGCTGCAACAAACACATTACTGTATTCTTACTGTAGATTAAAAAATCTACAGTAAGAATACAATATGGCTCCCATGCAGTCACTATTATAAAGATAATGCTAAAAAAACAGACACTATTTTCCACTTAGTTTGGGGAAAAATACTACATTAGTGAAAACGGGCTTTGTTTAACTGGATCTGTTTTTAATTTTCTTATCATGCTCTCATATCCACTGTCCCTTTGCCCTCAACTGCAGCCACTATAAAAGCCTCTAATTCTTTTCTTTTTTGTTTTCCATT